CCCCCGGCATGTTCCCCACGGCGGGACGGGGAGACGGACGCCCACGCAGGGACGGGGAGACGGGTGCCCACGCGGGGATGGAGAGACGGACACCTACGTGCGGACGGGGTGACAGACGCCCACGTGGGGATGGGGAAATGGACGCCCATGCGGGGACGGATACCCACGTGGGGACAGGGTGACAGCGGCCCACACGGGACGGGGTGACAGACACTCACGTGGTGACGGGGAGACGGATGCCCACGCGGGATGGGGTGATGGACACCCACAAGCTCAGGAGTATTGCCTGCTCAGCTCTGCCCACAGAGCAGCCTGGCCGAGGGAGGGGCTCTCCCGGGAGGCTCGCTTTGCTCCATGACCTGCGGGCAGTGACCCTCAGTCCTGCTTGCCCATCTGAACTTCCGGGAGCTGTGAAATATGCCCAGACCTACTGTGTGTGAACCTCTGGGAGGAAAGTGGTGTGGCATGCTTGAAAATCTCTCGGGGGGGGACAGCAAGTGGCGTGGTGGTTAAGGCACTGGATTCCCACGTGGTAAGCCATGGCTTGAGTCCGACCTGGTGGCTAAAACTCATGCCTGGGGCGTGTGCACGTGTGCCCACAATCCTGAGAGGGGACTGGAGAAGGGATTGTGGCGTGGCCACTCCCTCTCCACCTAGGGATGATTTCTTACTTTCCCTCTCTCTTCTCTGGTGAGTGCAAGTGTCCTATGGCAAAAACCTAAATAAACAAATACCTGTTTCTTTAAAAAAAAAGAGGAGGAGGAGGAATAGGCCAGCCGGCCACTCACCCGCCCCTCTGCATCCTGGGAAGCCTCTGGGATAGAACTCACAGGGCATGCACACTCACAGGAAAGAGATGGAGAGAGGGCAAGTGAGAACTCTCTGGGGGGATGACCACGCAGCAGTGCCTTCTCCTCTACTCGCCTCTCAGGATTTGGGGAATGCACGTACACCCCCCCAGCATGATTCTCAAGCCGCCAAGTCCAGGACTGGGACTGCAGCTGGCCATGTGAGAACCCAGCCCCCTGAACCACGATGCACCTGCCGGCCCGTCCCCAGGTTATTCTGAGGTGTACCCCGGAGGGCGACCACACCACTGGTCAATTTACGGGTTCCCTCACTTGGTGATTTCTCTGAATTTGTGGAGAGTCCGTGAGTTGCCCTCAGTCCCAGACTGCCCTCAGCAGATCTCGGGGAAGAAGCTGGGCTCTGGAACCAGAGGAATCTGAGGTCTGGCCCTGCTCTGCCAGCCACTAACTGCACTTGTCTGGGCTAGCTATTAACTGCTCTCGGACTCACATCCTCTTTTTTTTCAAAGAGAGATTTTTTGCTATAGGGTGCGTGCACTTGTCAGAGACAGAGACAGAGACAGAGAGAGAGTGAGAAATTACCCTCTGGGGGGATGGCCATGCCGCAATCCCTTCTCCTCTTGGGAATTCGGGCGTGCACACACATGCGCCTCATGTGAGTTTAAGTCACCGGGTCAGGGACTTGAACTAGTCAGCCATGTAGGAGTCCAGTGCCACAACCACTATGCCACCTGCTGGCCCCCTGGATCCTCGTTTTAAACCAAGGACCAAACTGTCTGCCTTTCGGAGTTGCTGTGGGATTAGAGGGTGCAGTGGAAGTGGTGGGTGCGGTGTCCCTGCCTAGGAAACAGAACGCATCTCACCAGTGGCACGTGGTGGAGGGCTACCCAGCCGACTCTGGGCTGCACCTCGATTCCGTCTGAGACGTTCAGAAAAATTTCAGCATCAGAATAAGCCGGTGTGTTCCCCACTCCAGAACAACCTGTGGCCCACAGCGGCCGCCCCTCCCATCACTGACTCCTGCTCTTCCTCCTGTGCCGGCCCACCCCTGCGCAGTGCAGCCCGGGCCTGTCAGGGCCCTGACTCACACTGCCCTCCTCATGCCTGGCTTCCTCCCTGCGGAGGGCGTGCGGCTCACCTCGCCTTTGCTGTGCTGTAGCCGTGCTCAGGTACCGGGCACAGCAGCGTCCACTGCCGCACCTGGGCCTGGCAGTTTCAGTCGCAGCTCCTGGAGTTCACCGAGATCACTCAGGGTAAAGCTCCAGCCGTTAGAAGTGGCTCTGAAGAGCTGCCCTTAGCGAGCCACGCAGCCACCTCTTTACAATGGGTCCAACACAGCCCCTTCCTCCCCAGAGAGCACGTCACTCCCGATCGCAGGGGGCTGCACACACGGCACAGTGGTGAAGGGCTCGGGCCTCGGGCTAAGACAGCCGAGCACACCCCGGCTCTGCCACTTGGCACTCCTTGGGCTCCTCCTAGCCCTTTGTAAAGTCAGGAGTAGTTCCTCTTTCACATCATCAAGAGGGTTCAGGTGGCCGCGGCCGTAACTCACTAATTACAAACGTTAAAAGGCCGGGAGCGTGTCTGCCCTGTTTGCTGCGGAACGCTCCGTGCTGAGCACAGTTGTGGCACACAGTGGGTGTCAGCAGCTGGGCAGTGGGTGAGCCGCGCCAGGCACGCTGTCGGGCGGTAGCTGTGGCGTGTTCGAGGGCTCTGTGCGGGTGCCGGCGTGGCCATGCCTGTCATGACCGGGCTTGCTGGCATCACCTTGGCAGGACTTGGCCTGAAAGACTGCAACAAAGACTTCTTGAAGGACACGTGAAGGCACGCTGGGCCCGCGTGGCCACTGACCTGCGTCCATGTCATCTGTGAGGCTAACTGCAAGCTTACAGTTCCTCATTCCCAGGTAAACACCCGGTCTACACTCCACGTAGAGGCAGCGTAGGAGAGGAGAGGGGAATTAGTAAACGGAGGGACCCTCGAAGGTTATCACTGCTCTGTACAGCCTTTTTATCTTAAAGAATTATTTAATTTTATTTACTCGTTCATTCATTTTAATTTAACCAGAGAGAGACACACACAGAGAGAGAGAGAGAGAAAGGGAAAGTGAGAAAGCAAGCCACCAGGTCTGGGACTCGAACTGTGGTCAGCCATGTGGGAATGTCCAGTGCCTTAAACACCACGCCACCTGCTGGCTCCCTGTACAGACTTCTTAAGAGAAATTCTAGAACCTTGTGTGCAAGAAGTCCTCAGAGAAGTGGGCCTAATCTCAGGACTGACTTGTTGAGATAGTGGGTAAGGGGAGCAACCCCCAGGGCGTGCACGTCTATCCACTGATGCCTGCTTTCAGTGTTCCCGGTTTAGGGAATAAGCCTTTCCCTCAGGACGGGGAAGATTTATGGGTTGGGCTCGCTATGGTTTGAATGTGTCCCCCCGACTTTGGTCATGACAGGATTAAGAAGGCAGAAGCTGGCCCCGCTGGGTGACGTGGGTGGCAGATGGCTGCTGCACAGCACGGGGGCTGTCTGGGAGACCTGGGCTTGGATCCTGGGTCGCCCCGAACACGCCATGTGTTCCCAGGGTCCTGGCTGGCTGGGAGGCCGAGGGCCATCTCTGCGTGATGAGACCCTGCCGAGGGCCTCTCTCTCGTCTCTCAGTAAATAAATAATGGAATTATTATGTTTATACATTTTATCACTGTATAGCATTACAGCTTAGAAAATGGGTTGTCCCAGCATGAATGCATGGCATGGTAGTCCAGTTAAAGACACTGTCATCCCTGTTGTCATCAACACCTAATTTTCCACTTTTGTGTCCCTGGAATGCTTTGCTTCTTTCTTTTCCCCTGGACACTTGTGGATACTAGAGACAGTGTGGGAGGAGAGCAGGAAATAGGGAGGGAGATAGGAAGGGAATAACAGAATTTGGAAAAACATGGTACAACTTAATCTGACCATGAGATTAAGAGGAGGAACCGGGGCCAGCAGGGGGTGTGGTGGTTAAGATGCTGGATTCCCACATGGCCGATCATGGTTCGAGTCCCAGACCTGGCAGCTTGAAAGTCATGCCAGGTGCATGTGTATGCATGCCCCAAATCCTGAGGAGAATGCAGGAGAAGGGACTGCGGTGTGGCCATCCCCCTGGGGTGATTTTTCACTTTTTTCTCTATGTCTCTTTATCTCTTTCTGGCAAATGCATGAACCCTATGGATAAAACTTAAAAAAAAAAAAAAAAACAGAGAGGAAGGGACCGTTGGGAGCCCGTTAGAAATGTCATCGGAGTGAGCCTCAGGACTGAGCCCTGACGGGGTTACGGCGAGGGAGGAGGGCAGACACAGACACGGACGTGCTGGCTCTCGCTGTCTCCCCGTGCGCTGCCTGGGAGCCCAGGGACTCCCCAAGGAGTCTCTACAGTAGGAAGGCCCCCACTGCACATGGCCCCTTGACCATGGACCTCCAAAACAATGAGCTAAATAAGCCCGTATTCTTTTTTTTGAGAGGTTTTTGCTATAGGGCGTTTGCGCTCGCCAGACAGACAGAGACAGACAGACAGAAAGCCAGAAATCATCCCCAGGGGCGATGGTCACGCCGCAATCCCTTCTCCTCCATTCTCCTCTCAGGATCTTGGGCACGCACGCACATGCGCCCGGTGTGAGTTTTAAGCCACCGAGTCTGGGATGCGAACAGTGGTCGACTACATGGGAGTCCAGCGACATAGCCATTACGCTAACTGCTGGTACCAGCCTGTATTCTTTTTAAATTACCCAGACGTGGGCACTTCTGTTATTAGGGCCACAATTACTAGAACACGCTCTATCACCCCCAGGTTCTCAGATTACCTGCTCGGAGGCATGAGAGTGGGAGGGCAGGGGGCCCCTGGGTGCACCTCGGTTTGCCCACCACCCTGCGATCTGGGCCCCATCTGCCTCCGTATGGACCTGAAGGCAGAGTGGGCTTGGGGGTGGTCGTACCTACGTACTCGCCCCTGGTGAAGGGCAGGGCTGGGTGGACCGTCCTGGTCTCCTGCTCGGCCGGAGGCGGCTCGTAGCTGTCGTCCCCGTTCTCCTCGGCCGGCATCACGTACATCTCTGAGTCCGAATGCTCGTCTGGGTTTTCATAGTCGCTGTCCTGCAGGGGCAGACATGGTGTTCAGAGTCCCTGTCCCTGCCGCCTAGTGATCAGGACCGCTTGCACCTGAGCAGGTCAGAGTTGTCTCCACAACCTAGTGACAGGAAGCCAGGCCTCGGAGACGCTGAGGTGCAGTCAGAGCAGGTGTGAAGCCAGGCCGCTCTGCCTCCAGAGTGTATCGGTTTACCACCGTTTATCAACTGTGCTGTCCTGAGGGACACAGAAGCCACTGTCTCTAAGGGTGGCTGAAACTGTTGACAAAGAACAGCAGAATGAGCACATGTATGTATCATATGTATAAGAATACACATGAATAAGAATATATCTTTATACATATGTTTATATGTGTGTATAGAGAGAGGTGTGTGCGTGTGGGTGTGTAGTACATGTATTGCTAGGGTGTGTGAGCTCCCTGTAGAGAGACAGAGAGATAGAAAGAGGGAAAGTGAGAAAGCACCCATGGGAGAGGTCAGGCCACAGTCGCTTCTCCTCCCCGTGCGCTGCCTGGGAGCCCAAGGAATCCCCCAGGAGTCTCTACAGTAGGAAGACCCCCACTGCACATGGCCCCTTGACCATGGACCTCTAAAACAATGAGCTAAATAAGCCCGTATTCTTTTTTTTGAGAGGTTTTTGCTATAGAGCGTGTGCACTCGCCAGACAGACAGAGACAGACAGACAGAAAGCCAGAAATCAGCCCCAGGGGCGATGGTCACGCCGCAATCCCTTCTCCTCCATTCTCCTCTCAGGATCTTGGGCACGCACGCAGATGCGCCCGGTGTGAGTTTTAAGCCACCGAGTCTGGGATGCGAACAGTGGTCGACTACATGGGAGTCCAGCGACATAGCCATTACGCTAACTCCTTTTGGGGTTTTGGACATGCATGCTTCAAGCCCTTGGGTCTGGGACTCAGACCTCACAGATGGCCGTGTGGGATCCAGCCACCTTAACCACTGTGCCACCTGATGACCCAGAGAAAGTATTTTTAAAAGACAGAAAAAGAACCCAGTAAAATAAAATAAACGAGAAGTTTTACTTGTCGTGGCTAGGAAGAAGCAGCTTCAGTGAGGAGGTGGCAAGGAAACACACAGCGATGCCTGGATTCCTCTGAGGAGATGAGGCTTTTCCCCAGAGGGAAAGGGAAATGGGAAAGCACCCCGTCTAATGGAGTAGTCACAGCGCAGTCCCTTCTCCTCCACTTCTCCATCTGCCAAGAGTGGGCATACACGCACAGGTGCCCGGAGTGTTTTTCAAGCCACATGGATCAGGGTTTGAACCGTGGTCAGTCATGTGGGATCCTGCTTTCTTTTTTTAAACAGATTTTTGCTATAGGGCATGTGCACTCACCAGAGAGACAGAAAGTGAGACATCACCCCCTGGGGGGATGGCCATGCTGGAATCCCTTCTCCATTCTCCTCTTGGGATTTTGGCACAGGCGCACACGCCTGGCATGAGTTTTAAGTTGCTGGATCTGGGACTGGAACCTTGGCTGACTATGTGGGAGTCCAGCGACATAATCAGTACACCATCTGCTGGTCTTGGGATCCTGCTTTCTTAACTAGCAGGCCATGGGACCGGCCTGTGACTTTTTTTTTTTTTCTTTTCTTTTTTTTAAAGCAGAGCTGATAAACTGTAGGACCTAGACTTCATGCGAACTCAGAATCCATTCTGGTTTTTTGTTTCTATTTAAATATAAATCTTAAGACCTTTACTGAAACTACAGCGACATGGTCTAAAGAAGGCGAGGTCTCCTCAGTCTCAGCTTCTCTCCCCCGAGGCGAACACTGTTAGCAGTCTCTCATACGTGTTTTCTAGAGAAGGTCCACGTGTCTGCCGCCTACACAGACACGAACGTGGGAGAAATCCGTGACTCGGGGCATAGGCGGTCCTCTGGCCTCTGCGTCCACTGCCCCACCTACAGCTGGCTGAGCGTGAGCCGCACTTTCCAGGAAGTGGATGGGACGCCTGCTTGGTGGCCTGTCTCCCTCCCTCGCAGTGTTGTAACAAGATCTGTGCAGGTTGGAGGCTTTGGGAACAAGCTTGGATTTCATTGTGTGTACAGTGGGGCCTGCTGAAGTAAAGACAGTTGTTGGTGTTCACTCAACCCTCACGGTAGCCGGCATGTTCATTTTGGATGTTTCACTTTGGAACAAGTCCTTCCTTCCTCTCCAGATTGGTTTTATTTCCACTGTGTGCTCCTTAGGTCCAGCCAGTGAGCTCAATTTCCTTCTTTCCTCTGGGTTGGACTAACCAGCTTCTTTTCCTTCTCTACAGGCGTCCCTGTGCACACGGCCAGCAGGGGGCGCAGCTGCAGCGCGCTGGGGATCAATGGCTTCTGGGCCCTGGGAGGGCCTCTGCCCAAGTGAGTGGCTTCGCAGTCACGCCTTCCCCTCCTTTCCCTTTTTCTTTCCTTTCCCTTTTTCTTTTCTTTCTTTCTTTTTTTTTTTTTTTCAGTTGAAGAAGGAAGAATTCCTGTCTCCAACGACCTGTATAAACTCCAGGTAGTGTCCACAGCCCAGAGCTGGGCTCAGACTCAGTTCCGGGCACTGGACTGAAAGTGTGGGCCACTGAGCGACTGTCAGGGAGCAGGTCATTTTCGTTTTCTTGGCCTCGGTCTCCTTATCTTGGAGATGGGCGTGGTCAGCTGGAGGGCTCCCTGGCTCCCTCTGGACACCAAGCTCACAGACTGGAGCAGGCTAACAATCTGGATGAGCAAGTGTCGTCCTGAAGAAAAGCTGTTAGGATGTCTCGTCCCTGTGTCTCAGTCCAAGACAAAGTGGCTGTGGCAGCCCTCAGATTGCAGAGCCACCAGGAAAAGGGTGACAGTAGGTGGACGCAGTCACGCCTTCCCCTCCTTTCCCTTTTTCTTTCCTTTCCCTTTTTCTTTTCTTTCTTTCTTTTTTTTTTTTTTCAGTTGAAGAAGGAAGAATTCCTGTCTCCAACGACCTGTATAAACTCCAGGTAGTGTCCACAGCCCAGAGCTGGGCTCAGACTCAGTTCCGGGCACTGGACTGAAAGTGTGGGCCACTGAGCGACTGTCAGGGAGCAGGTCATTTTCGTTTTCTTGGCCTCGGTCTCCTTATCTTGGAGATGGGCGTGGTCAGCTGGAGGGCTCCCTGGCTCCCTCTGGACACCAAGCTCACAGACTGGAGCAGGCTAACAATCTGGATGAGCAAGTGTCGTCCTGAAGAAAAGCTGTTAGGATGTCTCGTCCCTGTGTCTCAGTCCAAGACAAAGTGGCTGTGGCAGCCCTCAGATTGCAGAGCCACCAGGAAAAGGGTGACAGTAGGTGGACACCAGTCACTCACTGTGGCCCCCAGGGCTCCGGTAGTGTTCCTGGTCACAGAAACGCCTGGCTGGGAGGAGCCTGGTTCTGAGCTCCGAGGCCTTTGTCTGGACTTCAGAAGGCAGGTTACTTACACTCTCCCAGCCTTTGGGCTCCTGGGCAGGGGTCAGGTGGTGAGGGGACACTGGGGAGCTTAGGGCAGAGGTGTTGCCACCTGACAGGGAGGTGTTTGTCCTGGCATCTGAGCTGTGCGGTGAGTGCTCTGGGTACCACACTGATGCCCACCACCGAGGGCTGTGGCAGGAGGCAAGGGGCCCACACCCGTAAAGCTCTTGCTTGGCACGTGGGAGTGCTGGGCTAAGTCAGACATCATGGGATTGCCATGCCTCATCCGGAGGTGGCCTGGCCTGCCCTCACCCTGATGTGACAAGCAGCTGACCACCAGCGTGAGGTACAGACGCAAGCCCTTACAGAGGTCTCCCACAGCCCTGGCAGCCCGGCCCAGGAGCAAATACTCACAAAGTCATCTGACCACTGCTCCTCTTCATCAGCTGGGGTCTCTGCAACGGCAAGGGGGAGACAAGGCACACGTGAGCCTCGGCTGGCTCCCCCCCCCCCGTGTCGCCCTCGGACCTCCCGCCTTCGCTCAGCCTTAAGCAGTTACTACAGTTGTATGTTTGTTCCCCATTGACTCTTTTTTGGGGAGGTTTTTGCTATGGGGCACATGTGCTCATCAGAGAGAGAGACAGAAAGTGAGAAATCACCCCCCAGGGGGGATGGTCACGCAGCAATCCCTTCTCCTCCATTCTCCTCTCAGGATCTTGGGCACGCACGCACACGCGCCCGGCGTGAGTTTAAGTCACCAGGTCTGGGACTCAAACCATGGTCGACTACATGGGAGTCCAGTGATATAGCCATTACACCAACTGCTGGTCCCTTGACTCCTTTTTAAAAAAAAATTTTTTTCACTTTCAAAGCATAAAGAGAGGCTTTACTGGACAGAGCAAGGCACATCTGACACATGTCTGTCACTGTCAGGGGGACCTTGCAGGGGGGTCCTGCAGACTATACCATGTGGCATCTGAGGATTTCCTTGAGTCATTCCGTAGTGGGGAGAGCACTGGAGGGAATCGGAGAGAGCAAACTCTCCCACACCCTGTCCCTGACTCCAGACACCTAACATCCCTGGGCCTCAGCTTCCAGGTCAGTAAAGGAGAGGAGAGGGCAACTCTGTGATTCCCTCTGGCTCGAGCTCTAACCTTTTTCTGTTTACTTTTTTTAAATCCAATGCTTAATGCATTCCTGGCAGTATTTTCAGAGACTGTTTTCATTTCGTCCTCTCAAAACTCTGTGAGTGGAGGCTGGAAGAGTCCCAGGAGTAGAAGGGGGAGCTCTGTGAGGCCGACCCACTCTGGAAGGTTCTGGGTTTGCATCTGGAGAGGCCCTGCGCACATGACCCGGGACAGGCTGAGGGTGGGGTGCACTGCCACATCAGGGCCTGTTGGAGGGCTGATGCTCTCTCTCTCTCTCTTGCTCACAGAAGAGATAAATGTAAAATAAACCAGCAAGAGCAACATTGGAGGCAGAGGAAACTGAGGCCCAGAGCAGATAAACCACGCGCCAAGGCTGGACAGGAAATGGAGGGCCAGGAATGCAGGCTGGCTGCGGCTCGTGCCCTGAACCCCAGGGCTGTGCTGCCTCGCCGCCTTCAAGCTCCAGGGCAGGCACCTTCCTGGGCTCCACGGAGGATGTAAACACGGACGTGACAGGTTGTGGCCCCGGAGTTGCCTATGAGCTTGGAGAATAAAACAGGTCTGAATTACGACAGCCAAGGAGACTCTCTGACCCCTTTTCCTCCAAACACATTTAGAGTGAGAAGCTCGCATCTATCCCGACCTATGGACAGACACTGGAGCTTAGCGAGACCTGCCTGGCTGTGTAGAAGGCCAGCCAGACTCAGACCACACAGCACAGGGCTCCAACGGCCGCACCAGAGGGTTCCAGCTCCCCTCGACCCCACTGAGCAGCGCTGCTACAAAGGACCCAGTGAACAGTCCCCGAATTCCTAGAACAGAGGTCTCCAACCCTGGGCTTTAGACCTGTACTGGGCTGTGACCTGTTGGAAACTGGGCTGCATAGCAGGAGGTGAGCAGGAGTGAGCAGTGAGCAGGAGTGAGCAGTGAGTAGGAGTGAGCAGGAGTGAGAAGTGAGCAGGGGTGAGCAGTGAGTAGGAGTGAGCAGGGGTGAGCAGGAGGTGAGCAGGAGTGAGAAGTGAGCAGGAGTGAGCAGGAGTGAGCAGGGGTGAGCAGGGGTGAGCAGGAGGTGAGCAGGAGTGAGAAGTGAGCAGGAGTGAGCAGGTGTGAGCAGGAGGTGAGCAGGAGTGGAGCAGGAGGTGAGCAGGAGGTGAGATGGAGTGAGCAGGAGGTGAGCAGGAGTGAGAAGTGAGCAGGGGTGAGCAGGGGTGAGCAGGAGTGAGCAGGAGGAGAGCAGGAGGTGAGCATGAGAGAGAGGTGAGCAGGAGGTGAGCAGGCCCCGAGCCCCGCTGTGAGCTGCATGCAGATCTCATAAACCATTCCCTCCCCCTAGTTCCCCAAGTCTATGGAAAACTTGTCTTCCATGAAACCAGTCCCTGGTGCCAAAAAGATTGGGAACCGCTGGCCTAGAAACTCGGCAGAACTTTTCCTCCCTGCCATGTCTACCCCCTGCCAGCAGTACTGACTTCCCTCGGGGGTTCCACAGGTACCAACACAAAGACTGTGCAGGCGAAATGAGGTCAGAAAGGAGGTATGCGGGCTGAGCGGCCACTAAGCAAAGGCAGCAGTGGCGCCCTCTCGTGGGAAAGTATGATAGGTCTAAGAAGGAGCCTCGCTCTACAGGCCAAGTGTGCGTAAACCCGGACGCAGACAGAGTTTTAATTATTTTCTTAGAGAGATTTTTGCTATAGGGTGTGTGCGTTCTCCAGAGAGACAGAAAGCAAGAAATCACCCCCCAGGGGAGATGGCCACACTGCAATCCCTTCTCCTCCATTTTTCCTCTTGGGGTTTGGGGCATGCACACACACACCCGGAATGAATTTAAGCCACCAGGTCCAGAACTCGAATTGCGTTCGACTATGTGGGAGTTTAACAACGTAACCATTATGCCCTCTGCTGGCCCCTGGAAAATAATTCTTAACGAAGTATTTTTTGAGTTGACTGATACCAAATACACTCTTGTGCATTATGGCCACTGGTGTTTTCCAAGAAGCTAGAGGAAAGGGTGACTAAGTCCCTTCTCAGCGTGGTAGCCTGGTGCAGTGTGGGGACAAGCGTCTGCTGCCTTCCGTTTGGGGACAGCTGGAAGTCAACTCTTAGGATGGCAAGACATTTTGTTTTTACTGTTAAATAGAAAGCGTCATACAGGGCCCTTATGAAACACACTTCCGTGCCTTAGAAAACCACACTGGCGACCCTTTTCCCAGCAAGTCAGGGTCAGCTACCCGTGAAAGCAGCTGCAGCGGCCAACTGACTAGTGTCCCTGTCTCCACCCTCTGTCTTCTCAATCCACCCTGCTGCTTCTAGTCAAACTCTTAAATAGAGGTGGGGTCACGCTGCCCCTTTCCTCAAGAGCGACCAGTCACTCCCTGTGCAGCAAAGTCGGGGTTCTCTGTTCAACACGTTCAAATGCCTCCAGGCCTGCCCTCCTGACTTCACGCACTGCTGCCCCTCTTCTCCCATGAAGTCTTCCCAGTCCCTGTCATAGTCAACGTCCCTTTCCTCTGGGCCCTCGTAGATGCTCCTGACACCCTGTCACACGTCCTTGGTTCTGTCCTGCACTGTGACTAAGTGGCCTGTGTGTCTTCTGAATGATAAGCCAGGCTAGCTACCCTTGTATCTGGCCAGCATTTGTAATCTCCGATTATGTTTCATCATAATATAAACACGAACTAATGAATGAGCTGAATGAATGAAAGGTACGGTGGTAACAGTGATTCCATCTATTGGACACTACCATGTGCTGGGTGCTAGGTGAAGTGTCATGAAAGGATTTATTCCAGGGCCAGCAGGTGGCATAGTGGTTAGGCTGCTGGACTCTCACACAGCCAATCATGGTTCAAGTCCTGAACCTGGTGGTTTGCTTTCTCACTTTCTCTGTCTTACCCTCTTATGACCACATGTGCCCTATAGAAAATTATAAAATAATAAGTACAATTAAATAAGCACTTTTAAATAAAGGTATTTATCCTTACAACAGCGCTATGTGGTAGGTGGTGTTATTATGTCTTAGAGCTGAGGAGACTGGCCTAAGAAATGCTGCTGAGCCTGCCTGAGGCCACAGGGCCAGGGACTGGGGCCTGGACGGGAGACCAGGCTGTCTGTGTTGGCGCCTGCAACTTTTCAGCTCGTGCAACGTCTCCACTGAACATTCTCATTCAAGTGAGGAGAAAGGGGATGTCCCAGCCCAGGCATCCAGCCACATGGAGGCAAACATGAGAGAAAGGGTCCAGGTTCTTTGGCGGCACACTCCTCTGGTCCCCACGTCAGGTCCCAGAGTCCTACTTATAAAGTCACAACCTTGCAGGCAGTGACGCGGACTGAAACAAGACGGAGTCCCAAACAGTGGCTGGTTTTCCAGCATCGAGGGGCCGGCGGCCCTGTGCAGGTGATGGGTTTAGAACTGTGCTCTCTGGTTCACACCCTGGCCCGGCTCGTCAGCAGCTGCTTGGCCTCGGGCCAATCATCTAGTGCTCTTCCGGCCTCCTCGCCTGTCCAGCAGGACCAGAGTAGCGCCCGCCCCTGCGTTGGTGGGCCCATCGCACACGTGAGAGCTAAGCGAGGCCTGGCACGCAGTAAAGGCTGTGATTATTGTATTGTCACCTCGAGCGTGGCAAACGCCTCAATAAAGTCCCAAACGCCACCAGCACCAGTTCCTGCGGTGGCAATGACATCCACGGCGACCACAGAGACAGCAGGAAGGCGTCATCGCAGGCAGGACTTGGGGGCGGTAAGGTCAAGTTCAGCATGGACGAGGCGGTTTGATTTTATGTGTGGCTGCACGGTCCCTGCCAGGAGGCTGAGGTCCCGGGCAGGCCTTTCTATCAGGTAAATCTCTTCCTATCATGTCCTTTTCCTGGTTTAGGCCTTACGCTCCACTTTCTGTGTCATAATCCCAAGCCACACAGAGAGAGAGCCTCCTCTAGCCTGCCCACAACTCAAGTAGCCCTCCCCAAGATTCAAATAGCCCTCCCCAGCTCCCGGGCATGGCCAGGTGCCAGGAGATGCTAGCGACCAGCCATGATGGCCCCATCTCGGCGTCCTCTCCAGGCCAGGACACGTGGGGCTTCGGGCTTGGGCTCCGGGGTCAGAATGACTAACCCACTGTCTCTACCCGACATGCCCAGCTCTTACAATCAGCGTGCGTTCTCCTCTGCTTTCAGAACGGCCTGAAGGACAGGCGGTCTTCTCTTCAGATCAAGAACCTGAGGCCCAGGGGAGTCGTACAGCTTCTTAGTTCACACAGTGCGTCGGGAGCAAAGCCGGATTCCCCAGTGTCCAAGGTCTCGCCGTGCCACCCTCTGTGACGGAAATAGAGACCTGGACCTAGAAGAACGACCGTGTGCTACAGCGAGGACGGTCCGGGGCAGGCAGTGTTTCCTGACGACTTCCCTGCGCCTGGGATTGCTGTCAGGCTGGGGGAGCTCAGAGAAGGGGTGCTCCAAGGGCGCCAACAGGGTGCAGGCTGTGGAAATGAACGGGGCCTTGAAGGACGTGCAGGACTCAGAGGAGGGCACCTTCCTCTGCCAGCTAAGACAGGCTGTGTGGCAGCCCCGGAAACAGGGCTCAGGGGCTGGGTCTCGGGGGCAGATGTGCATGGGGTGGGCGAACTGCCCCAGAGGGGGACAGGAGACCATGGCTGGCAGCAAACAAGGCTGGATGTACTGTCAAGGGGGACCTGGCCACGGCGGAGGCTGCAGGTGCTGGTGACGAGCTGGAGGTGGGAGCTGGGGCACGTGTTTTTGAGGAACTCAGGCATGAAGATCTGAAGGCTGAACCAGACTGGGGGGCTTGGGAGTGGGAAGGGAGGGCCAAAGGCAGTAAGGGGTTCTGTGGCAGTGGCCTGAGCACAGGGGTGCAGGTGTGGGTGTGAATTCACCCTGTCGGCTGAATTTTCTGTCTCCCCTTAACACGCTACCCTGTTGTCCCGAGGGCCCTCCAGAAGTGGCAGAGCCCTGGAGGGGTGCCAGCTACACGCACCTCTGGGGGCCTACCCTGCTCCGGGCTGCTGGGCCCAGCCCATGTTTTCCCTTACAGAGCTGGGGTGGGGGGCACAAACGGAGCTGGGGGCGGGTAAGCAACCGCAGTGAGACACAGAAGGAAGGGAAGGAGGGAGGTGGGCAGGCTGCGGTGGTGGGGACAGACGCAGGGAAGGAACAGAAAGCAGAACTGTGGAACCGCAGGGAGGCGGAGGGTGGCTAATCCCACTGGGTCCCGCTCTGCGAGGAGAAAGGGCTGTGTGTTCCCTGGGGAGCTGAGGACCAGCCGGATTCAGGCTGGCGGGGAGCGGTGCTGCCCAGGTACCATTTCTGCCCTAGAGTCTAAAGTCTGTCCCTCACGACTGCTCTGTGGCCTCTGTGTGCTGTCCAATATATATTTCATCTTCGTCCCAGTTCTCTGGCACACAACTCCTAAAATGTTTGGAATCTCCAAAACAGCACCTTTCTGTATGCTGACGCGCTGGCCGACAGCTCAGCGTCCCGCGGCTCAGCGTCCCGCGGTAGCTCTGGATGGGGCTGGCCGCTGGAGAGACCAAGGCATGACGGAGGCTGGGGCTGCCAGCTCCACCCCAGCCTCCAGGGGCAGGGAGAGACTTGACCAACCGTGCCCGTGTAGTGAAGGCTCCAAACCCCGAAAGGCAGCAGGGCACCTGCAGAGTCCTGGGGGTGGGGCGGCCGGAGAGGCGGACGCTCCGGCCCGTCCCGTGCCCTGCCCCGGTCTCTGTCCTTTGTAATGTACTCTGTCGTAACCGGGTACATGGAAGAGAAGTGTCTCCTTGAGTGCTGCGAGTCTCTAGCAAATTAACTGAACCCAGTGGGGGGCCATCAGCACCCCGATTTACAGCAGGTCAGTGAGAAGCACCGGTAAAGCAATGTGGGGCTCGCAACAGTTATCCACAGTGGGGACAGTCTTGTGGGATCGAGCCCACAGTCTGGGGGGTCTGGTGCTGGCGCTGCAGGGCTGCTGTGTGGCGTGTGTGGAAGCCCCCGACACGTGGTCACAGAGCGTGACAGCAGGGCGAGGGAGGGCCAAGGTAGAGGCGACCCTCCCAAGAATGTCCCCGCAGCCCTGGATTCGAGCCTGAGGGTACAAGGAAGGAGGCCCTGTTCCCTCTGACCCCTCAGGGGTTTGCCAAGTGATCAGGGGGCTCCTGCCAGGACCCCAGCCCCTCCTCCCAAGTCAGACTTCAGATGTCAAAGACCCAGGAGGCTGTTGGCTGTGAAAGCTCAGGCAGCGGGAGGCAGGTTCTGCTAGTCGTCAAGGGCGCTAATGCCTTCAGAGTGGTCTGCTGGTTAACGGAGCCCGCCCCCACGTGTCTGACCACAGCTCAGATCCTGACCCCTGCCACTGGAAAAGCACATCAAGTTACGTGTGTGTGCGTGCCCCTGGTCCTGACAGGATGGAGTAACTGGGAAGGGATTGGGACATTAGCACACCCCACAGGGGATGCTTTCTCCCTCTCGTATCTCTCTGGTGAACACACGTGCCTTTGGACATTTTTAAAAATATTAAGAAGAAATGTTCCAGGTCAGTGTACATATCTCAGCTTGGGTCAAAGACACAATGGGAGCCTGGGGTGATTTTTTTCTTAGTGGCTTCAGTCACCTTGGGCACATTACCCAATGCCTCTGAGACGCATTTTCTCCGTTTGCAAAACTGAAATACTGATTTCTGTCAGGCCTAGTGGGAAGATGAGTATGTCCGTACAGAGCTTCGCATCATGCCCAGAGCAGGTGTTGGGCACCTCCCCTTTCCGCAGTAACACCAGCTGTGTGGGGGTCATACACTGCTTAGTGGACCGTGAGGTCTCTGCAGGAAATGGTCCCTCCTCGGAGACAACGGCAGGATTGCTGGGTCTGCACTGAGGAAGCAGGCCCCACCCTGCCTGGACTGTATCCCTGGAGGATGAGTGTCATTTTTACCACTGTACCATTCTTCGTGTAAGTTTTTTTTAAAGAGAGATTTTTGCTATAAGGCACATGTACTTTGCAGAGAGGCAGAGAGACAGACAGAGAGACGGAAAGTGAGAAATCACCCCTCCTTGCCCAGGGGGATGGCCACGCCGCAATCCCTTCTCCTTCATTCTCCTCTTGGGATTTTGGGCACGCATGCACATGTACCCGGTGTGAGTTCTAAGCCGCCAGGTCTGGGACTTGAACTGCAGTCGACTACATGGGAGTCCAGCAACATAACCATTGCACCACCTGCTGGTCCCATTCTTTGTGTAATTTAAGCTTATCTTAGAGTGTCTCCCACTCTCTACCCAGGGGAGAGACTGGTGACTCTTCTGCTGCCCTCTGTGGGGCACTGGTCCTTCTCACTCTGCCCCCTTGAAGGTCAGCATCACCAAGGTCAACACACTCCCTGGCCTGCAGGGTCTGAGGAAGCCATCACTGGCAGAGCTGGGAAGAGGACGTCATCTCACCTAAGGGAAACAGCTGGGGCTCCTTCACGAGTCTTGAGTGACCCAAGTCTCTGACACCCTCCAAGAGCACTTGACTGGCCTCCCAGGCCCAAGAGTTCTGGTGGGCTCGGGTCTCCTACGCTGGGATCTCAGAGGTTCTTGAAGACTCCCTGGGTTCAAGAGGAGCCATCAGGGCTGATTTCTGAGGCCCTGGGCTTACATCAGGAAGACCGAGGCTGAGAGGAAGCAGCCGGAAATGCTCCCAGGGCATGAGCTGGCGGGGGAAGGCGAGGCCGCTGAGGGAGAACTCTGCTGGTGCTAGCTGGTGACCGCGGTTTTGCCAGAGGACCGTACCTGGGGATCGAGTGTGAGGGCAGGGGAGACGGGCAAGGCCCTACTGCTGTGGTGAGGCAGCGGGTGACTTTCTGAGTCTGGGACTTCGGTGGGTTTGGGGGCACGTGTTTGTCCTTTAGTTCAGTAGAAGTAAAGATAAAGGTGAGAAACCCTTAGAGCAGGGTTTCTCAAAGGTAGGAACCGTGTAATCCCTGGAGCTGTTGTTAAAATGCAAATTCTGACCCACCAGTGTTAAGGTGGGGCCAAGATTCTGCACTTCGGCAAGGTGCCAGGCCTCACTGATGCCGCCAGGCTAGGACTTCTACTCGGAGCGGCGACGCCTCAGAAGACCTGGCTGGGCCATATTTCTGTCCCAAGAGAGACTGAGCACACAGGTGCTAATATCAAGTCAAGTTGGGAGGGTCTCAGAGAACAGAGAAGTGTCTAAGGTCAAGGAAGAGAATACTTCGAGCACCCAGGAGATTGGAAGACGCGAATTCCTAAGTCAAGAAACGTTCGGAGCAGCTTGCTTCCTCACTGGGCCCTGGCCTCTGAACACCCGTGCTTCTGCAGGAGTGCAGAGCTAGCGTTGGAGGGGGCCTGCCAGGCTTTCCAGTTTAGCCCCATGTGGTGTAGGTAGGACCGAAGATGGAGACGCCCCAAGTTCCAAGCCAGGCAGGGACAACTCGGAAGGACCGTGCCTGTGGCCTCGGCAGTCTGCAACTCTTCTTGGTGCTGGTAGAGCCGTGAGAAGGTCAGAACACAGACACGGCACGAAGAAAACGCTAGCTCAGAGTAATTCTCTGGTGGAGTTCGAGAGGACTACATGCAACTAGGAGTTAAGTCGGCTACTTAAAGACCTCAGACTAAGACAAGCAGGAGAAGTCAAGGGCCCGAGCTGTAGAAATGGGAACACGGGGGAAGAACGCTTGAGAGACACCTGAGAGAGGATCAGTAAGATTCAGAGATTCAGTTTTTGTAGAGGGCGAGAGAAGAGGAATCAAGGCCGACTCTCCCAGAACAGATCAGGTGAAAGGGCTAGTAAATGGTGAATGTCACTCGCTTTTCCTCAGGGGGAGCCTGGGGAGGAAGGGCAGACGGCCGAGGACTGTCCTGAGGGCACAATCAGGAGAGGCGGCCATCCTGAAATCAGAGGTGTCGGTCCACTCAGGTGCGAGAGCTGGCTCTGAGCTCCGAACATTTGTGTAGTGTCCCCAGGGCTGCTGGTCCACCTATAAAGTCACAAACGTCCTGCACGTCTGTCCTCCAGGACTTGAACTAAACGTCGCCTCCTCAGAGACCTGGTGGCTTAGAACTCACGCTGGGTGCATGCGTGGTTGTTGCCCGACATGGCAAGGGTCAACGATGTCCACAGCCCTGTGGTTCCCCCCAGCGCTGCACAAATCTCTCCATGTTCAAGAAATCTTTAGACTTAATGCTGTAGAAAGGGACTTGAGGCCGATCCTCCCATGGGACCTGGGCTAGAACCGGAAAACGTGTTGGGCTTGTCCTTTGCTCGCTGCAACCATGAACTCCAGCAATCCCAGAACAACTCCTTTCCTACCCCAAAGTCGATCCCAGTTAAAATGGGTGTATGGGCTGAATGCGGAGAGGACCCAGTAACCACAGGCCATCAATAGTTTCAACGCCCCCCGCGCCCTTCGACAACCCTCAAGTGTCCATTTAAACAGCTTTCACTGAGCAAGCCCTCCACACCCTGACCTCGGATGGGTTTCGTACTGCCATGCACTTCCATGGAACCATGTGGGCCCATCACACTGACGTCATCTGCCTTCCCTTCCAGACCGCACGCTCCGAACGCATGGAGATTATAGCAAACTCATTTAGCTCTGGATTTCTACCTAGCACCTTGCATGTGCCTGGCATGTAGAAGATGCTTAACGCCTGTCCAGTAGATAGTGGGGAGACCAGCAGGTGGCATGGTGGTTAAGGCACTGGGCACTCTCACATGGCCAACTGCAGTTCGAGTCCTGGATCTGGCAGTTTGCTTTCCCACTTCCCCTCTTCTCTCCTCTGTGTCGCTCTCTGGTCAAATTAAAATAAATGAATGAATAAATATAATTGAATAATTATTAAAAAGTAAATAGTGGGTAGATGGATAGTTGAGTGAAGTTCTCATGTCCACTATAGTCAGATGCCTAATAGGGTGGTTCTTGGAATCAGGATAGGCACCTTTTGTGCTCAGGGGCATAGAGTATACGTCCCCTTCCAACAAGTAAATATAAAGATGAAATCAGTTCAGGGGCAGCTAAAGTGCTGTAGAAATCTCTTACCTGAAGCGTAGTCCCTCCGGGGAACACTTGGCGGTGCTTTGACTTTGAGCCTGTAATAATAACCAGGAGACAGAGTGAGGGAGGACGGCTATCGTCAAGGCTGTAATTTAAGCTGATGGAGAGAAGGAAGATGGATTCTAACTGCGTCAAGTTCTTCGGGCCATCACAGTGAAAGACGTAACATGTGGTAAATGCAGTGGAGCCAGCAGTAGAGGCTTTCTCCCTCCTGTCTCCCCACTGCCTGGCGTGGCCACGGCCCCGCAGAGGTGGGGCTCACTGCTACAGCTGCCCTGGGAGGTCAGAGTTCTAGCAAGCACTGAGTTCAAAGGTTCAAGGAAGAGGGGCCTGCAGGTGGCATGGTGGTTAATGCACTGAACTCCCACATGGCAGTCCTGGACCTGGCAGCTTGCTTCCTCACTCCACACAGAGCCCCCCCCCATCTCTCTCTGGGGAGTCACATGCCCTATAGCAAATTAATAATAATAATAAATTAAATTAAAAAGCAAATTAATAATAATAATAAAGTTAAATTAAAAAGTTTCAAGGAAGATATGTTGGCTGATTGATAGGAAGTAAGAGAAGATGAACTATGTTTTAATTATTTATAAACACATTAAAGAACAAGACAAAAGTTAGCTCTAATGTGTGCTTTTGGTTGTATGGAAGTTGGTTTTCTGCGACATTAAAAAAACGCCAAATAAGTGAGTAGTAAATGCCTCAAGAGTAGGGATAATGATATAGATTCATTTGGAAGTTAAATTACAAAACTATTCAATGTTTCAGTATATATATATATATATATACACATATATATATATTTTTTTTGAGAGGTTTTTGCATAGGGCACGTGCGCTTTCCAGAAAGACAGAGAGACAGAGAGACAGAAAGTGAGAAATCACCCCCCAGGTTGAATGGCCACCCCACAATCCCTTCTCCTCCATTCTCCATTCTGCGAGTCCAGTGACATAGCCATTACGCTGACTGTTGGTCCCAGTAAATTGTTATTTTTAATAATTACTCATATTAAGTAAAATTTGCTTAGTGAGATTTTAAAAATATATAAATAAAACAGTGACCTAGTAGCCTTTACTTACTAACTGCCATATCCTTTTACAGAAGCAATGTACAGGATAACCATTCTAAATAAAACTTATAGGACGTGTGCACTTGCCAGAAAGATAGACCGAAAGTGAGAAATCACCCCCTGGGGCATGTCCACACCGCAGTCCCTTCTCCTCCATTCTCCTCTCTGGATCTTGGGTATGCATGCACATGCGCCCAGTGTGAGTTTAAGCCACCGGTTCCAGGACTCGAACCACGGTTGACTATATGGGAGTCCAGTGATGTAGCGATTACACCACCTGCTAGTCCCAATACTTCAGTATCTTTACACATATAGGAAATGTGCAGATTTTTCACAATTCTTCTCCACTCATGAAAAGATTAGGGCCAGCAGGTGGTGTAGAGATTATGGTGCTGACTGTTCATCCCACACTACTGACTGCAGTTTGAGTCCTGGCCCCAGCAGCTTGAAAGTGATGGTGTAGGGGTCAGCAGATGGCGCTAGACTCCCACATAGTTGACTCTGGTTTGAGTCCTGGACCCGGAGGCTTAAACTCATGGCGGGCACATGTGCATGTGTGCCCAAGAGCCTGAGAGGAGAATGGAGGAGAAGGGATTGCAGTGTGGACATCCCCTGGGGGGTGATTTCTCGCTTTCGGTCTGTCTGTCTGTTTGTCTTTCTGGCAAGTGCACATGTCCTATAGCAAAAAACTCTCAAAAACAAAAACAAAAACAAAAACAAAAATCACGAAAGTAAGGCTTAGTGTGTGTGTGCTCAAAATCCCAGGAGGAGAATGGAGAAGGGGTTGGGGCATGACCAATGACCACCCTCCCTGGGGGAGAGGGGGTGATTTCTCACTTTCCTTCTCAGTGTGTCTCTGTTTTTCTCCAGGGAGTGCACACACCATACGGCAAAAACTTTCAAAGGAAATGAAAAGAAAAGATGAAAATTACATTTTAAAAAAGTGGCCAAAGTTCTAGGCCTATAAACAGTTTTAATAACATATCTTTTTCCATGTTTTGAAATCAGTAAGATTTACAGTAAATTATTATGGTTATTATTCTTTTTCTTTTTCCTTTTTTGGAGAGGTTTTTGCTATAGGGCGCGTGCGCTCACCAGAAAAACAGAGAGACAGAGACAGCGAGAAATCACCCCCCAGAGGGGATGGCCACGCCGCAATCCCTTCTCCTCCATTCTCCTCTCGGGATCTTGGGCACGCACGCACATGCGCCCAGTGTGAGTTTAAGCCACCGGGTTCAGGTCTCAAACCACGGTCGGCTACATGGGAGTCCAGAGACATAGCCACTAACTGCTGGTCCCAGTAAATTATTATTTTTAATAATTACTCATATTAAGTAAAATTTGCTTAGTGAGATTTTAAAAATATATAAATAAAACAGTGACCTAGTAGCCTTTACTTACTAACTGCCATATCCTTTTACAGAAGCAATGTACAGGATAACCACTGTAAATAAAACTTATTTCATTTCTTTAAAAAGAGCACAGAAATTCATGATTAAAAGTATACATACAGAAACCTTACAAAGCAGAATTCTAATTTTTCAAATGTACAATACTTGTGTTTGCTGAGAAATTTAGTGTGGTCTCCTCCCCCATGTGTTTGCTCTTAAATCTATTATGTCATTTGGTTCTCACCACAAGCCGGCAGGGAGTGCTGGGAAGATGTGGACGTTAGGTCACTGATGGGACCTGGAGAGAGCTTGTCCAAAGTGTGGTAGGGAAGGGAAACAAACACAGAATCAGGCCTGGTGCCCTGGTCAGTTACTGGGATAGTACAATTTCAAAGATGACCACAAACCAACTATTCTTATTATAGCCATCGTTCATAAAAGAAAATAGGGACCAGCGGATGGCATAATGGCTATGTCGCTGGACTCCCATGTAGTCGACCGCAGTTTGAGTCCCGAACCCGGTGGCTTAAACTCAGGCTAGGCGCATGTGTGTGTGTGTCCAAGATCCCGAGAGGAGAATGGAGGAGAAGGGATTGTAGCATGGTCATCCCCCCGGGGAGTGATTTCTCGCTTCCTGTCTGTCTCTCTCTGTCTTTCTGGTGAGCGCACACGCCCTATAGCAAAAACTTCTCCCAAAAATTAATTAATTAATTAATTTAAGAAAGAATATATATTGTTTAATGCAGGAGGGTGCATGTACATGCTGGAGAAAGAGAGACAGAGAAAGAGACAGAGAGAGATCCCACTGGAGCCTGGCCATGCAGCAGTCCCTCCCCCCAACCCCCTTCAGGATATGGCCACTCACACGTGTCCTGAGTGTCTCCCAAGCCTCTGAGTCTGTGGCCGGGACTCAAACCACAGCTGGTCACGTGGGATCCAGCTCCTTTATGCACAGTGCTTAACCACTGTGCTACTGGGCGGCCCAAGAAGAGAGCTTTGTTTTGTGTCTAGGAACGTCACTGTGATGGCACACCGCGGGTGAACACAACGTCAGCAGTGCTCATCGCAGGCAGCTCGGGGGACTGGCTTCACTGTGTGGGTGGCACCAACCTGGTGTCCGTCGTAAAACCTGTCCCTTGGGTCACTGTTGGCCGCCACACCAATGCAACAGCAACATACAGGAATGGAAAATGGAAATACGTCTAAATGAAACCGCAAGGCGTTTGGGAACAAGGGCTCAGCAGAGCTAGGGCTGTGACACACACTCCTCTGTGCAAGCGGGAAACAGGCACCAAATCTGAAACGTTTGCTGTTTATTTCACTGCAAAAGGGGATTTGAAAACCACACAGCTGTTCTTTTGAGGTATGGGTGTCGTGTCATCAATGCCTGCGCCCCAGGACCGGCATAATGGAAGCAGAAGAAACACATCTAGAAGAAACAAAGGAGGGCGTGTGTTGTTTTCTTCCACGGGCTTTGTAATCGACGGGAAGAGCCGTGAATCAAGATAGCAGAATCCCTTTGAACACCCCAAAATGTACGGTCATCATCTCAGACAAAGGCCCGACCCCAGAACACGGGCGGGGCGGGAGGGTAGGGCTGAATGTCGCCGCTGGCTGGCCGGTGTCTGCACACTAACCCCCCAGCACTCAGGTCCTGATTTTCTCATGCGGCCACTGACCAGTGAACACCGTCACGGTCTTGCGTTTGGGAACCAGTGTGTTCAACTGTGCTTCCTCCTCCCACGGCAGCACCTGTCGTCCGCTTCAATTCAAGGGAGAGCTTAACTGCACGTCATCTTGAGACAGAGACCCTTGACTTCACCAGGGTGACGACTCTGGTGGCTGGATTTTTTTTTTTTTTTTTTTTCTCCTTTTGCCAAGCTGAGAAGAAACATAGCTTGTCTAGTAAAAGAGATTTGGGGGAACAGTAGACAGTAGGTAGAATGTGGGAAACAGAAACCGTCAGACAATATTTGAGCTCCATGGCTGCCGTCAATCTGACTGACCGCGAACAGAGATGTTGGACGCAGGTTTTGTATTACTGAGAACTAGTGTGCTGGGAAGCTGAAGGTTGCGAGCTCATTAATGAGGACTTGCTTGGGACAGTGACAAAGGTTCGCGGGCTCTCTCACAGGGAACGAGATTCTGTATGTAGCAGAAATCCTAAATGAAAATAATGACACACCTGGCCCAGTCGTAGGACAATGCATGAAGACAAATCCTTCCCTGGAAGGGATCTGTCTGCCCTGCCCCACGAGCAGAAGGCCCCTTTAACTGTCATTATCATTGACATATATTGAAACTCATTTACATGCTATAGTCTAAAAGCACCACAAAAGTGATTCTTTTCCATTTAGGTGAAGATCAAAAAGAATGAAGATACTCTGTTCATTATTGTTAGCCCAAAATTTGGAAGGGAAATTGGGCAATAGCAATCACAATTTTGAGAATATAACTCCTCCTATTTCACTTCAGGAATTTATAGCATTGGTATACTTAAAGCTTGCAAAGGGTATTTATTGAAGTATTATTTGTGACACTTAAACTGAACGGAGTAGCCAAAGAATTTTGATCGATGATATCCAATTGCCCCCAAGATGGTCATACCAGTTTAAACTTGCATCGCCCCTCAAACATGCCCACCAACGGGCCAGCAGGTGGCGCAAGTGGTTAAGGTGTGGACTCCTGATTGGCCAACTGTGGCCCAAGCCCTGGGCCTGGTGCCTTGAAAATCACGCCCAGCACCTGTGCACGCATGCCCAAAATCCCAGGGGGAGAGTGAGGAGGAGACGAGATTGTGGCACGGCCATTCCTCCTGGGGGGGGTGATTTCTCACTTTCCATCTCTCTGGCGAGCACACATGCCTTATGGTGAAAAATCAAACAAACAAAACCCCACCCGTATATAGCTAGCTAGATGGATTATAATCAATTTATACTAGACTAACCAACTATTCAAAAACTAATCTGGTTTATTTTTGCATACTTACAAAGGAAGCTGTCCACAAGGCAGCATTAAGTAAAAACAACAGAGCAAGTGCCAGAGGGGAGCGGCATGTGGAGTGCGACGCTGACCCCGGTAGGACGTGCATGCGTACAGACGTGCGTACGTCGGTGTGCGCGGGTGGACGGTGCGACGCCGTTCCCGATAGGACGTGCGTGCGTACAGACGTGCGTACGTCGGTGTGCGCGGGTGGACGGTACGACGCCGTTCCCGATAGAACGTGCGTGCGTATAGATGTGCGTTCGTTGGCATGCGGGTGGATGGTGCGACGCTGTTCCTGATTGGACATGCATGTGCACCGACGTGCGTACGTCGGTGTGCACGGGCAGAGGGTGCAACACCGTTTCTGATAGGACGTGGGTGCGCGGGTGGACACGTGCACATACAGAATATCTACTGAACTGACTCGAGGTGACATGCATGTCTGGGGAGTTGGGGAAGGTGCGTGACTAGGGGGAAGTGGGAGATTTCCACTTCATGCTATTATGAGCTCTGATTTTTTTTTTTCTTTCCTGGTGAATCTGTATTGCTTTCATAAACAAAGGAACAGAAACATTCTAAAACCCAATAGACTAGCAATTCTCCTTTTCTTCTGACTTAGATTTTTAGTGGCAAATGCAGTTATGTATAATTTCTTTCTTTCTTTCTTTCTTTCTTTCTTTCTTTCTTTCTTTCTTTCTTTTTTGAGAGATTTTTTGCTATAGAATGTGTGCACTGACTGGAAAGATAAAGAAAGACAGAAATACAGAAAGTGAGAAATCGCCCCCAGAGAGAATGGCCTGCTGCAATCCCTTCTCTTCCAATTCTCTTCTCGGGATCTTGGTCACGCACACACATGCACCTGGTGTGAGTTTAAGCTGCTGGGTCCAGGACTCGAACCGCGATCGACTGTGGAAGTCCAGTAACGTACCGATTATGGCCATCTGCTGGTCCAGTTATGTATAATCTCTATTCTCTTTTTAATTTTTTTTATTCAATCATTGTACATCTTTACAGCATACAAAATGCAATCCTGATGAAATTACATATTCTTCACATAATTAGGAAAAAAATCATAAAAATTCGTCTAGACTCATAAAAGGCCCTGTATCTCCAAAGCAATGCTATGAAAAAAGAATAAAATAGGCCATTTCTGTTCTCTTAAGGGTGATGGTGTACAGGAGGACTTGGGATTCTAACTCGCTCTCACCAAGTGTCAGTTGAAAGCATCATTGTAAGAACTCATTGAAGAAGCAGAAATCAAAACATGGAGACCAGCGATGGCGTCCTGAAGAAGCCGGCTGTGTTTGTAACTTCACCAGGCATGTCCCAGTGTCCTTAGCTAAGTGGTTCAGAGCTGGTGTTCCTGCTTTGATGTGGGCAAGGCACCTTGCATGAATAGGACTCACCTTTCCTGCCATGACAGAGAAAGTCCACGTTCTCTGAGTACCACTCCCACTCAGTTGTTCCCAGGGGGTGGGTTTCAGTAAGAAGGGGTCATGTGCCTGGAACCAGCAGATGGCGTAATGGTTACGTCACTGGACTCCCATGTCATCAACTGTGGTTCAAGTCCCGGACCCAGCAGCTTAAAACTCATGTCAGGCATGTGTGCGTGCATGCCCAAGATCCCGAGAGGAGGATGGAGAAAGGATTGTGGCATGGGCATCCTCCCCGGGGAGCGATTTCTCGCTTTCTGTCCCTCTGGTGAACGCACAAGTCCTATAGCAAAAATCACTCTTAAAAGAGAGAAAGCGTCATCTGCCAGAGTCGACTCCTCACTCTGGTGACAGAACTGTGCTTACTTCCGGTTAGCACGGGCTGGCTTATTATATAATGAAGTACTTAGAACAGAGTCTAACTTACTTTTTGATTTTGTTCATTATTCCACCGTCATTGTTCTTAATATCATGAACCATCTTCTGAAGCTGCCTGTAAGAATAAAACATAAGCTATTAATATGAGTAACTTAGCTGGTTTTTAAACAGTCTTCTACCCTTCTTAAATACAACAAAGGAGAGATGACAATGCCCTATGACCAGACCTTCGACCAGCACGGACTGGGGCCAGCCCAGGGTGTGGCAGTAGTGCGCTGCAGGAGGAGCCAGAGCGCACAGCCCAGGGTTCAGATTCCCAGCCTGGTCAGCCCAAACGCTGGGCATGTGCGGGTCCCAGATCCAGCGTCCGGAGGACTGGAGGAGGAGGCCTGTGGTGTGGGCAGACCCCGTGGCGGGTGCTCGCCTCTCTCTCACACACACTGTATCATGAATAAAGGAAAGGTGATTTCAGATGGCAGGAGCTATCTCGTAGGTAACTGAGTTGGCCATCTGCTAGTTGAGCGAGGGGAAGATGTAGCTGCTTCTCCGAGTGCGGTTGCTGGGCCTTGGCCCCATGGGTTTGGGTGTCTGGGCCAGACTCAGGCTGTGAAGAAAGGCATTCTGGCCCCAGATCTGAGTGTTGGGAGGACACGTGTGAGGCAAAGCCCTCTGAGCCCATCTCGGCTCCCCTGCTTATCACTTCCTGTACTTAGAGCGGCCACATGCCAGGGCACGTGCTCGCCCGGGACAGGAAAGGCTCAAGTCAGACCCAAAGTGGTTTTTCTTTTAACTTTGCTAGATAGAATCTGGAACACCACTCATTTAAAAGTTACACATATGCAAAAGGCATAGAGAAAGTGATTAACAAATATAATTAGATATTTGAATTTCTGTAGAACAAAAAAATAATATGCACAAAACACTGGAAGAAATATTTGCAACACATCGTAATGAGGGTGATGACTACATGCCTTGATTCATGAAGCACCTTACAACTCGGTAAGAAAAAGACCAGTCCAGCAGAAAAGGGAGCAGCAGAGAGCTCACAGAAAGCACCGGCGGCCAACAGACCAACGAGGTCACTTATATTTAAACAAACCTGAGTGAGACAGCCAGAAGAGACCACATTCTGCCTGCTGGATTGGTAAAACTTAACAAGTGTGACTGGGCTGGCGAGGGATGAGAATACAGATATTCCTGGGAGTGCAAACTGTTACAACCAGTATCTGTCAACGCTTTAAGCGTCTATGACTTCTGACCTAGCAAATTCCCTGCTAAGCATCTTCCTTCTGGATGTAGTCATAAAACTACGCCGTTATATAACACAGGCATGCTTATTGCAGCACTTATGTAAGAACTCTAATTCTCCCTGTTCCCCAACCCACCATCCCACAAAAAAACAACCTAAATGCCCATCAATCATTAAAAAGGAACTAGTTAAACTTTGATGGAACCAGATGACGAAATACCACAGACCTTTTAAAAAAAGAAGTATACCTCTATGTTACATCTGATACAGAAAAATTCCTCGAGAGATACTAAGTTTAAAAAAATGAAGGAGGGGGACCAGCAGTTAGCGTAATGGCTATATCGCTGGACTCCCATGTAGTCAACTGCAGTTCGAGTCCCAGACCTGGTGGCTTAAACTCACGCCGGGCGAATGTGCCTGTGTACCCAAGATCCCGAGAGGAGAATGGAGGAGAAGGGATTGCGGCGTGGCCATCCCCCATTGGGGGTGATTTCTCGCTTTCTGTCTCTCTCTCTCTCTTTCTGGCGAGCACACAAGCCCTATAGCAAAAACCTCTCCAAAAAAAAAAAAAAAGAAGAAGAAGAAAGGAAAGTTCAGAATAATGTGTATCATTTAATTTTTCTGTTGGAAAGAAAAGGAGACACATTGTATATACATAGGTGCTGCTGTGTGTGTAACTTTTCTTTTTTTTTTTGAAGAGGTTTTTGCTATAGGGCGCATGTGCTCGCCAGAAAGAGAGAGACAGAGAGACAGAAAGCGAGAAATCACCCCCCAGGGGGGATGGCCATGCCGCAATCCCTTCTCCTCCATTCTCTTCTTGGGATCTTGGGCACACATGTACATGTGCCCGGTGTGAGTTTTAAGCCACCAGGTCTGGGACACGAACCGCGGTCGACTACATGGTAGTCCAGCGACATAGCCATTACGCTAACTGCTGGTCCCTGTAACTTTTTTTTGAGAGAGTTTTTGGTTTTTTTTTTAATTAATTAATTAATTTTTTGGAGCGGTTTTTCACTATAGGGCACATGTCCTCGCCAGACAGACAGAGAGAGACATAGAGACAGAAAGCGAGAAATCACCCCCCAGGAGGGATGGCCACGCCGCAATCCCTTCTCCT